ACCCTACCCCTCCCCATTCTCCTTCCTTCTTTCTCCTTCCTCATTTATCCCTCCTTCCTCCTTCCCCTTCTTCCTCCTCCTCTTTCTCCTTTGTTCCTTCTTGCATCTGGTCACTCTCCATCTTCCCTTATCGAAGTCTTTATTGTTCGCCATCCTTTACCACCTTTCTTTCTTCCTCCTCCATCCCCACCCTCACACTCCCACCCCTCACCTCCACCCCACCCCTCACCTCTCCCCCACCCCTTTAGCCCGTTCAATGCTTCTTCATGCTCGTTTATCGCCTTTCAACACCTCTTCTGTCTTCATTTATTTCTGCGATTCTTCTCTCGTGGTCTCTTATGCCCCCCCCCGGGCGATAGGAACGTCTATACGGGGTATACCTTCTGCCCGACGCCCGTTGTGGCTCTGGTTGTGGTTGTCTTCTTTGTCTTCTTTTCTTGTTTTGTATATATATATATATATATATATATATATATATATATATATATATATGTATATGTGTGTGTGTGTGTGTGTGTGTGTGTGTGTGTGTGTGTGTGTGTGTGTGTGTGTGTGTGTGTGTGTGTGTGTGTGTGTGTGTGTGTGTGTGTATGTGTATGTGGTGTTTTTCTTCTGTGTATATTGTTTTATTATTATCATTTTTTTATTCTGTCTCGTTCTCGCATCTCTCCTTGCTTTTCTCATCCTCCTCTTTCTCCTGTTTTTATCTGTTCCTTGTCTCTTCTCTTCTTTCCTTTCGTTCTTCCTTTCGCTTCTTTTCATTCTTTTTTGTCCTCCTCCTTCCCTTTCGCTCTTTCCATTCCTTTTTATCCACCACTCTTTCCATCTTTTATCCACCTCTTACGATCTCTTCCCATTCTTTTCTATCCTCCTCCTCCTTCCCCCTCCTCCTCCATCCCCTCCTCTCCTCCACCCTCCCCCCTCCCCCTCCCCTCCCCTCCTCCTCCCCCCTCCTCCTCCTCCCCCTCCTCCCTCCTCCTCCTCCTCCTCTCCTCCTCCTCCTCCTCCTCCTCCCTCCTCCTCCTCCTCCTCCTCTTCCTCCACCCCCCTCGCGACGCGGCCGGGCACAACCTCCCTCATAATTCCTTTCCCTGCAGTGCCATTAAGGTAGCACGCGAACAATGAAAAGTGGACCTGCTCGCCGGCTCTCGCGTGCGGTGGGCGCCGTCTTGGAGTGGGCGCTGAAGCCGAAAGCCGCGCCTGATGGGGGCGCTGTGATGGGCGCTGAAGCCGAGAGGTGCCGGATAGAGACCTGGGATGCAGGAACGCGCGTTCGATGTGTGTTTAGAGATTGATGGGTGGGTAGATAGATAGATAGGTAGATAGATAAATGTATAGATAAAGACGCACTATATATATGTATGTATAATGTATATATATTAATATGTGTACATGCGCGCGCGCACACGCACAAAAACACAAACACCTAAACACATACGAATACACACACGTGTATATATATTTACATGTATATATGTTGTGTGTATGCGTGTGTATGTTCATGTGTGCATGTGTATGTGTGTAAGTATGTATATATGTGTGTGTGATTTATTTACTAAAACACACTGCCCAGCCTTTTAAAAAGAGTCGAGCCCGGCATGGAAACAAAGGCAGGAGCCGGACGGGAATTCTGAAGCCTGCAAGGAGGGAAGGTGAAAGGAGGACCGCGGCGTGTCAGTCCTGAATGCCAGGCCTCCGCGCAGAAAGGGAGGAGGAGGAGGAGGAGGAGGGAGGAGGAGGAGGAGGAGGAGGAGGAGGAGGAGGAGGAGAGGAGAGGAGGAGGAGGAGGAGGAGGAGGAGGAGGAGGAGGAGGAGGAGGAGGAGGAGGAGGAGGAGGAGGCAGCGGAGCGCGTAATTCTGTAGCATGTTTTATGAGGCGGTTTGCTGGCTGGTATGTCAGTCGTCGTGCCCCGTGGAATGCCTGTAGGAGAGGGAGGAAACATGGGGAAGGAGCTTGGGGACAGGTGCGAAGGTTACAAGTGGGGAGGAATGGCTTTAGAAGGGAAAAGATGGTTCAAGAAGGGAGGAATGATTGTGGAGGGGAAGAGATGGTACAAGGAGGAAGGAATGACTTTGGAATGGAAGAGATGGTACAAGGGGGAAGGAATAACTTTGGAATGGAAGAGATGGTACAAGGGGGAAGGAATAACTTTGGAATGGAAGAGATGGTACAAGGGGGAAGGAATAACTTTGGACGAGGAAAAAATCGTACAAAAATGAATAACTTTACGGAGAAAAGGATGGTACAAGTGAGAATGAATAACATAGCGGAGAAAAAGATGGTACAAGTGAAAATGAATAACTTTGCATATAAAAAGGAGGATGAAGCGTACACGTTGCGACTGGTATCTCTCTCTTTTTTTAAGCAGAATTACCAACGCACAGCATTACGTACAGTGTAACTCTGATGAATATGTAAATCGAAACGGATTAATTACATGTTTTGCTTTGCCTTTGTGGGGCCGAGTCGGTTTTCCGCGCATTTGCAGATTAATTTTCCAAGGGAAGACCACTTAATCCTTTGGAAATGTGGGAGAGTTGCGGTTTAGTTGAATAATTACTGTGTCTGAACTGAGGTATTTGAGGTATAGGATATAGTTGTTTTTTATGGTATGATATTTCTGTGGTATTTGAAATATCGAATAAGTTTATATATATATATATATATATATATATATATATATATATATATATATATATATATATATATATATATATATATATATATATATGAGTGTGTGTGTGTGTGTGTGTGTGTGTGTGTGTGTGTGTGTGTTGTGCGTGTGTGTGTGTGTGTGTGTGTGAGTGTGTGAGTGTGAGTGTGAGTGTGAGTTGTGTGAGTGTGAGTGAGTGTGTGTGCGCGCATTATATTTCTCATATGTCGGGTAACTTGTGAGTTAGGAAGGTGCTAGATTTGGATAGAAATATTCAGCTAAATTGTATTTTGTTTTTCGATCGCTGAATATCCATGGCTCCCATTCTTCATCCTGATTTCGCTAGTTAAAGAGGAGTTAAGAAAAAGAATAAATCAGGTGCAGGCGACGCGAAGTTCGGGCAGAAATTAGGCGAGGTGATAGAGGATGATAAAGGATGCAAAATGGAATCGCAAAAGGGAAGGGAGAAATCCGAATAAAGGAGAGATGGGACGGGGGGGGGGGAGTGGACAGACCTATGGGCCAATTGTTGTAATTGGGGAAAGAGGAGGTGAATATAAACCTCGAATTGCCGGACCCTTTGGGAAATAAGTCCTCGTCTGTGTCGGGTCCGTTAATCGAATTGGAACATTTTCGGCGCTTTGATGAAAAGGGAAAAAAATACAGCATACATTAGTTTTATTTAATCAGGAACCGAAGGGAGCTTGATCGAGAGTTTGGTCCTCCTTTGAAACGCACACGAACAAGGCATTCGCTGGTTTGATGGTGATATACAAGCAATTAGAGGAGGAATGGCATCGGTTAAAAGAGCGGTTTTCAGCTTAAACGTTTGCCACGGTGAAGGAAGATATCGCCCTGACTTGCTGAAACGTTTTTTTTTTTTTTTTTTTTTTTGCAAGGAACAATGTCAGGATTACAGGATACACGCCTAAAGTAGGGTTTACGGTGTAGGAGAGTGTCTGGAGCCTTATATGTAGGAGAGTGTCTGGAGCCATATATGTAGGAGAGTGTCTGGAGCCTTATGTGTATGAGAGTGTCTGGAGCCTAATATGTAGTAGAGTGGAGCCTGATATCTATGAGAGTGTCTAGAGGCTCATATTTAGGAGGGTGTCTAAGGTTTCCTCTTTAGGGAATGGAAACCTGTGCTGTTAACTGGTCTGGTGGTGTTAAGGCTTGTGACAAAGCATTACAAAAGATGGATAGCATTAGGGAAGGAGGTCATTTTATGGATGGTATCTTGTCAGATTCAAACTGGTGTTCAGAGTGAAGGGAAGGGAAATATGGGGCCCTCAAAAATGTGTTTAATTATTTGCCCTAAAAAATGTGTTAATTATTGGCCCCCCAAAATTGCAGGTAAATAAGGAGGGGGAAAGAAGTTGGGGATTGATTAGAAAAGGAGAAGGGGAGGGGGGGGGGGAGGGAGGGGGAAAGAGGTATTCTCTCTCGATTACTTTCAAAAGAACATTTTTTTCAGAGACGAAAGGAGAGTGTTTGGTTTAAGAATAGGGGAAGGATAGGGAAGAGCAGTCGAAAAGTTTATGGATTGGTTGATATTGCTGTGTACACAATATCCGAAACCAAGGTCGGAGGAAGGACACTACGCCGCCCAGTCTCAGGAAAGGAGAAACTGGCAACTCTTCTTATAGTGGAAGACTCCGATTCGTTTAATTCTCTTTTGAGTTAATATTTTTAAGTGTTGAAGGCAGCAAAGATCAAAGATAAATTAGATTAGTGAATGAATGCAAACGAAAATTTTGTATATGGGTTTTAAAATTACAAGTTATATATAAACACAAAAAATATCGGATGTCAGCTGGTTTGAATGAGAGAGAGACGGCGATTCGGAGTACTTCAGAGTCCGATCCGAGTTGCCATTAATTTTTTTTTCTTTCCCGATATTGGAAACACTAATGGAGGATGCGGGCACGTCAGCCTCCGTTGCGTTCCAGAATCATCTCACTCTGTAGTCTTGCCTCCGAAAAGGATCGATTGTACACTCCGGTGCGCGCCAGAAATCCTTAGTCGTCTTGTAGTCCGAAAGAGAACGATTGTTTTCGAAAATGTAAATAATCCCAAGAAAAGAAAGGTCTCCCCAGGAAATCCACTGTCCGCTCTCATAAGAAACGACAGTGTTAAAGGGGAGGAGGAGGAGAAGGAAGATGATGACGATGTTGAAGATTATGTTGAAGATGATGATGATGAGGAAGAAGGAGGAGGAGGAGGAGGGAGAGGAGGACATGGCCGAATGTAGGGGTATGATACGGGGGCGGAATCCAGAAAGGGAGGGAAATTTGTGGAAGAAGCAGGAAGGTGTCAGAAGAGGGCTGAAGGAGGAAGGTGTCTGAG